CCAGCTCGGCAGCCCCCCCAAGGGGAGCGGGTCCCCCCCGGCTGCTCCCAGTGTTCCCAGCAACTGCAACAGAAATCCATGGGGTCCTGGAGCCAGGCAGGGGCTGAGCCTCAGCTTGCATCCCGGGCACTGCCACTTGCAAAACCCTCTCTGGCCTTTTCCCTCCCCCAGGACTTTCTGAAGTTGGGCTGGAGTTTTAAAAATCACGCTGAACAGTTGATTTTAATTTTTTTTTTCCGTGTGAGTTTACAAACATTTTCCAATTTTGCTGCCCCGCTCTCCTATCAGTGTAAATCTGCTTCTGATTTTATCCATAAAATCTGATTTGGGCAAAAGTTGGGGTTTTTTTAAAGATTTAAATCTTTGAATCAGGCAGAAATGGTCTTAATGAGTTTTTACAATTTATCTACAAGTTCAGATAATTATTGTGGCCACTTAGGAGTCTGGGGAAATTCTTCAAGGGAGAAGGTTGAAGCTGGTGGTGACCAACGCAGCTAAGGTTGCACGGAAGCGGGGTGTCCGAGGGACGGCTGCGATTACTGCAGCCTGGCTGAGCTGAGGCAGAAAACAGCTAAAACAGAAATAATTTTTATGGCAGACCAGCAGTAGCCAAGAACAGATCATATTCTGTTATTTTTCTGCCAGGTATCGTTTGAATCTTTCTTTAATTTGTTTTTGTTGTTTTGGGTTTTTTTTCACTCTCTGGTGATACCACTCGTTTTTTCATTCGGACAACATTAAAATGCACTTAGAAACCCCAGAAACTTTGGAAAAATCTTCATTTTCAAAGGTTTGAAAATATTTATTAATTACAATCTAATAAACATGGGCTGAAAGTTTTCAGTAAAATGCACAGGTCACAAAGGGAAAAAAATGAGAATTTTGTTTTCATAGAATCTGTTCCAATCAAACCTCAACAAGCAGAAGTAATCAGGCTGTGGAGCAAGCCTGTCCCTAAAACATAGGTGAGAATGCACCAGAATAAGGAGAGCGAGGGCTACAGTTGGGAAATATTTCCTTTTGCTTAAGTGGAATCCCAGTTTAAACCCCCTTTTGTTCAGTTTTTATTATGTGGAAAATATTCATGGCTGGAAAAAGCAGCTCCTATCTGAGATCCAGCTGATTAAAGCCCACGTTGATAAAATTTGTTAAGAATCAAACTTGCTCTGAAATTAATAGTTTGCTTTGAAACCCAACGGAGGGCTGGAGCGGATCAGTGATAACCCCCTGGTTCCCTCTGCTTTTGGAACCCCCTCCTGGCGTTTCCGTGGTGCCCCGTCCGGGCTGGGAGCAGAGGCGCACCCCCAGCCCAGGGAAGGGGCAGAGCCCCTCTGCTCCCCGAGGGGTGGGGGGGTCAGGAGCAGCAGGGCAGGAGGTGGAAATGGTTGAACCTGCAGCTTGCTGGAAGGTTTGCCCATGCCCCAAACATTGCAGTGCTTCAGTTAAAAACAAAGCAACTGCTGCAATAAACTGGGGCTTCCAAATCAACTCACATCCTGAAAAATCCTTTTGTGCTGGTACTAAAAAGCTGGAGTCTCTTTAAAACAAGCCCAGCAGCAAACCACAAGCAAACAGCGATTTGCTTCTCCTCTGCATCGCCTGCTGCGCAGCTCCTGGGCTCCCACCAGGGCAGGGTGCTCAGCTCCGCGCAGGGCTGGGGCTGCTTGGGCGTCCCAGGTCTCCTGGAGCAACAGCCTGAGTCCTCTGTTGGGGGTTGTGGACACACGGGGAAATGTCCAAGCTGCAACCAGCCAAAGCCGCTCTCCACAGCCTTCTT